TGCTCCCAGTAACCAAAATAGTTAAAACACACTTCATTCCCTACTACAGCCGACAGTGAAAAGGACAGGCGTGTAAATGCAAACAAATATTATAAACAAATACATGGGAAAAAGTTATGAATGAAAGGCTCTGTGAGACCAGGGAAGGGAACCACTTTTGCCTGAGGGTGGTAAAGGCATGCACTCTTTGCTTTTCTACTATTCTGATTATTTAGGTTGGCTGCCCCAAAGAAGATTTTTAAAGAAGTTCTAAAAATGTCATGACTGAACCTGAGTTAACTTGTATTGCACCCTTAATTGGTTTCTCTGTCTTAAGTCCTTCAGTCCTCCGGTCCAATATTCACAAAACCAGAGGGTCATTTTCAAGAAAACAACCTGGATAATGTCACGTCTGTTGAGTACCTTCCAGTGCCTTCAAGATAAGAGTTCCAACTCCTCAGCATGGCATATGAAGCCTCCAAGAGCTGGCCCCTGCCTCACTTTCCACTGTACAATTCATTCCTTTGCTTTAGCCATATTCACCTACAAACAGGTATCCAAACACACCAAGATGTTTTTGTTTTCCATCAAGCTATCCTTCTGCCTTTAATATCGTCTCTTCATACATCTGGCTAACTTGTATAGTTGACCCTTGAACAACACATATTTGAACTGCGTGAGTCCACTTATATGTGGATTTTTTCAACAAAATGTGGACTGAAGGGTGGCAAGCCCATGTATACGAAGGGCTGACTGCGGGACTTGAGTATGAGCACATTTGGGTGTATGCGAGGGGCCCTGGAACCAATCCCACACGTATACCAAGGGACGACTGTACTTGTGTTTCAAGATTCAGCTTATACATCAATAATTCTTAGATATCCTTCCAGCTGAAACTCATTGCTGACCACCTTCAATCCCACACTGCTCTCCCCCTAATAAGAATAAAGCTTCTCACTATTCCAAAGCACACTGGGCACCTCTTAACTCAATGGTTTCGTGATGTCAAATCACCGTCTGGTTTCTCTCACCACTAGACTAAGTTCTCTTGGAGGGAAGATGTTGGATCATGATTGTCACTGTTTCCTCAGAGCCTAACAACACAGCATTCAAAAAATATATCTGGGTATGTGTGTATATGTATCAAACATAAAGAAGCATTGGGTTATACCCTAGGAACATGTCAGAAAAATTGGGGAAATTATTGTGTAAGTTATCGACTCTTAATAGTTTACGAATTCATTAATATAAATCCTGTCAACTTATAGCCATGTTTAACTGTTCTGTGATGGTATACAAATTCCAAATGTTTCATTAAGAAAGTAAATATCTAGCAGTACATTATCGTGAGCTGTGTCCCATCCACACGAGCTAACATTTTAATGGTGATAAACCTATGGAAATGACCTATAAATTAATGGCATCATCCCTTGATCATGGCAAAATCAATACCAGAAAGGTAGTACAGTTTTTGAGAAATAAGTTATTAATTCTATCAACCTCAATGTGCAAACAAAATTTTAATCATAGGCACTTTCCCCCACTTTTAAAACTC